TCCCAAACCAGCAGAAAGACAGAGTAGAGCTGGCCTTTTGGGAGCTAGATTCAGGGACCTAAAAAAAACTCCCTCCCTCTCTCTCTCTCTCTCTCTCTCTCTCTCTCTCTCACACACACACACACACACACACACACAGAATCACTTTTCTCTGTGCGTGGCTCCACTTTCTCAGCTATAACCAACCGGAGTCCACTCTGAATTCACATCCTTGCAGCCTCTTGAACAGAAAAGAAAGCTCTGGCCTGGAGGGAGCCCCTGGTGCCTGGTCAGCTGCTATCTAGGATAGCCCTGATGAACTCAGCTTCATCTTCATGATCACCCATGGCCCGAGCCCTTTGGCTGTGTCACAGGGGTCCAGGGGACAAGGCCCTCCAGCAGCAGGGGTGGGTGGGGGCTAGGGGTGGAGGAAGAGAAGTGCACACACATTGCCAACTTGCAGCTGGGCAGCCATCCCAGTGTTCGAACCAGAGTCAGAATTGCCCTATTTTGGGAATAACAAGAGAAAGCTATTGCTCCAAACTCTCAAAACAGTGACTTTCCACAGATGTGGCCTCATCAGTAGGTCTATCCCAAGACATATGTACTAAGCCTGAATCTTCAAGAAGCCACCTTCTTCCTCAATGACATCCTCAAGCCAGAATCCAGTCTCACTGACACAGCAGATGAGTGGGCCAAACATTAATTTCTCCCATGGGCGCTGCTCTTAAGAACTAGGCTCATGAAAGTAAGTTGAAGGGGCAGCAGGCAAAGCTCATGCCCCCAGGATCCTGGGCTAGTTTCCTGATCTTGTGGAAAACCCCATCTGGACATGAAAAGGTCTCCCCTTCACCGTGTCCAAAGTCCTCCAATGGGGAGACATGAGCTCAAGCGTAGTTTCGTTGCCAAAAACACCTCCCAAACACTTGGCATTTCATGGGGGCAAATGTTTCTGCAGGTTACCTGAGAGGAGACTTGGGTCTGCATACAGGCACCCCAATTCCAAACCTGCATGTTTGCAGAGCAGTGTGGAGGCCAACAGCAAAGAAGACCCAGGCTTGGGCAGGACCTATGCTCTTGCTTCTAAAATCCCCGTGACTTTGTTGTAATTTCAATCGGGGTATTTAACATTTAACTCACATTAACATTTTAAAAACCACGTCATTGACTACTAGATGTGTCCAGAGCACATTTGAGAGCATTTTAGGGAGCGGTTTGGGAAAGAACGTAGGTGTGCTGCTTAGCACGCCCAGGTGCAAATTCCAGCTCTGACCTGTTTGTTTTCTCATCTGTAAAATGGAGATTTTAAGACCAGCCAAGGGTCTGGCTGTAGGAGGTGCTTGGTAAACAGCGTGGCACTTTGTGACCACCCGGATGTCAGTAGGGGAAACAGGCCCATAGAGGATTGGCCACCTGTCCCTGGATACACATGTGGCTAAGGGCAGCTAGGGGTCCTGACCCAGACCCTAGGCCCCAGGCGAGGGCAGGGTAGGGAGGAGGCAGGGGGGTAGTGGGGCAGTGAAAGGGAGCCCAGCTCAGAACCCTCGGGAACACTACAGAGCTGGGAGAAAGCGGTGGAGGTGGCAGGAATGGAACCAAAGATGGTGTGGTTGGGGGGTGAGGCCCACAAGCTGAGACCTGGACCCAAGACCTTTAAACATGCTCACTCTCTACATCCCTCATCCCCACTGTCTTAGAGCTGCCACCCTTGGGTGAACTGACATCGGTCCTCTTGATGCCACCCCATCTGACTCGATGGCAGCTTCTTTTTTTTTTTTTTTAAGATTTTATTTATTTGTTCATGAGAGACACAGAGAGAGAGACACAGGCAGAGGGAGAAGCAGGCTCCCTGAGGAGAGTCTGATGTGGGACTCGATCCTGGGACCCTGGGATCATGCCCTGAGCCAAAGGCCGATGCTCAACTGCTGAGCCACCTAAGCATCGCTGATGGCAGCTCCTTGAGGACCCAGAGTTCCCAGCAGGGCTGGAACTTTTATTATATAACCAACTGGGGAGCAAGCCCCATCATCAGCCCCTGAATGTTCCACCTTTCAAACGAGAACTGGCTCCACTTCCACCCCTGATAGGCGGGAAGCCCAACCTTTCTCTTAGGGTTCCTGTCCCCCAGCTAATTAAAGGGGTCACCAGAGTTATCAAACACCTGTAGGTAACTGCAGTCACCCTGTGCAAGATTATAAAAAAAATATAGTGGCTCAAACCTCCCTATAGCAGTCATTACAAGCAGAGGCTCCGGGGCCAGACAGCCTGAGTTCAAATCCTGCCATGGCCTCTTAACCAGCTGTATGACCTTGAGCAGCTTACTTCACCTCTCTGGGCCTCAATGTTCTCGTCTGTAAAATGGGGATATAATAGCATCTACTACTGTGACAACTAAATGAATTAATGTATGTAATGCGCTTGGGACATTGCTTGGAGAAAGCTCAACCTGGGGGGGGTCACTTGTCACCTCTCTTGCTGGAGGAGCTGCCAGCCTCTCCCCATCTGTCCAAACAGGGGCCTTGCCACTCCCCAGAGCCCCTCCTCCAGGCTGCAGGGAGCCTCTTCCAGCTGCCTCCTTGGGATCACAGAGCTGCACAATCAAAATGCCCAGCCCAGAGCCCCACAGAATATGGAAGCCGTTGGTCACAGGAACCTTTCAAAAGAGCAACTTTCCTCCTGCTGCCCTGGGACCTGCAAGGTGCCCGAGTGTCCCCCAGGCCTCTTCTGTGGCCTCCTATGGCCACTGCCCTGTCTGCCTGCGCAATGAACCACTGCAGCCCATGGGTTCCACACTCCCCACCACAAGCCAGTGGCCAGGGCTCCCTGCCCTCCTCACACCGGGTGGGACTGCAAGCTGAACACGGTCTGCAGAAGGCTCAGCAGACAAGTGACATGGAGGAGGCTCACAGCCCTCAGCCCTGCCCTGCAGTCTCCCTGCCCAGGCTTATGAAACCCAACAGGACAGACTGCCTCAGGGCAACGGGAGCTTCAGGGTCCCAGCACTGTCCTCTAAGGGACCGATGGGCCCTTCCTGGCGCATTCCACCCAAAGAGACCAGTTGTCCTCTAGAAACCCAAACTGCCAACCATCCCCTCAAATCCAATGCACAAAAGACCCTCCTCAAGAGGCCTCTCTGCTTGAGGTCTGTGGACATAGATTCCTCTAAGGGGCAGTCAGGCCTCCAGCCTGGGGGTGTCACACCCACCTTGCTCAGTGAACCCCTCTCTGGGCCTCAGTTTCTCTATCTGTAGAGTGAGGGTATTGAGTTCCTTGATGCCCGCAGCCGCCTGAACCCTGAGGCTGTTATTCCCACATGTCCTCTTTCTTTTTTTTTTTTTTTTTTTTTTTTACATGTCCTCTTTCACGTCACCTTCCTGCTCAAAAGCCTATAGTGGCTCCCCAGCATGCTGGGTTCAACTCCACAGGGGAGGCCAGTGCCCCTGCCCACTCCACCAGGAGCCTCTGCCAGCCTCTGGCACCTGCCTGTTCCTGGGGCACTCTTGATCCCTGAAACTGGCCTCCTGTTCTCTCCTCTGGCCCTCAACTCCGTCCCGACTTCTCTCTCTGATGACCACCCCTGCAGAAGCCTGGGAGTCACTCAGACTGAGTTTGAATTCCCGCTCTCCCCTTTGAGCTGTGTGGCCTGTGGCCTTGGACAAGTTGCCTTATTGCTTCATTCCTCTGAGTTTTGGTTTTCTCCCTTGAGAGGGTTAATTGAGATTACTATGCCCAGCATGGGGCCAGCACAGAATTGGGGCAGCAGGCCTCTGATAGAGGACCTTGGTAAGACAGACGCAGTTGGTGAGAGAACTAGCTCCCTACCACAGCCTCTACCCCATGGAAGGATCCTGTGCGACAGCCCCCCCTTGCTGGTGCTTGCACATCTGTTCCCTGACAGGTTAAGCTGAGTCAGCCACCTCACCTGGGGACAGGGGGACGGAAATGAACCAGATCTGACCTCTGACCTCACAGGAGGGGGGTTTGAGAGACCAGGACCCCACAGAGTGGAGCAAGAAGTGGAAGGTGGAAGTGAACTCTTGTCGCTGCCCAGGGGCAGTGCGGTGAGCACTGGGAGATGTGGCCGTGAGTAGTGGGAGAGTGCTGGCAGAGAAGATCACAGGGACAAAGGCAGGGAGGAGAAGTGGGTGAAGTGAGCAGGGCAAGGGAATGTTCTGGAATGGAGAGCTCATATGAAGAAAGGCCTAGTAGGCCTGTCAGGCTGTGGACTTTGTCCACAAGGCAGCAAAAGCCGCTGGCAGGTTTGCACAAGGAGTGCAAGGTAGCCTGGATCTGTCTGAGGCCACTCTGCTCAATGAGCTGATACGTACAAGGTTGCAGGCCAGGCCAGCTGAGGAAGCCAAGCTGGAAGCAGGCATCACTCTTGGTCTTTGGGAGGGAGAGACAGGTTAGGACTGGGCAGGTGGCAAGACATTCCCACTGGGGCTCACAGAGGTTCCCTGGAGCTGAGGGAGACCTTCCATCCTCCTTGGGTCCCCCAAGCAGCCATACCACCAGAGCTCTAGGCTTGCCTTCAGCCACACACCTGCTGGGCCCTGCTGGCCACCTGCCACACTACCTGGGGCTGACTCTGGGTGACACACGAGAATGGGCAACACTGATGCCCGCATGAAACAGTCAAGTGAATGTGTCACTTCCCAGGGTACATGTGTGCATAGCATCTGAGCACGCAAGAGGCCGCCCTGACTGTGGCACTCACTGATGTCAGTGACTGTCTGCTACATTCATGGCTGCCCTTCTCTCAGATGAAGAGGGTTGCTGTAACCACGAGTACCCCCAGTGAGGGCACCCCGCCTCCTGCAGGAAGTCTTCAGGGAGTAGGTCCTCAAGGCTTAGTCTCATCATCCTGTCAGGACCTGGAACTACTGTCTCCTGGCAGACCAGGCACCTAATTCTGTTCCAGGGGCCAGGCATCCAGCCCAAACCCTCATCCACTGGAGGCGGCCTGGGAAGGGACAGGGGCTCCCCTGTGCCCTCTGGCCCCTTAGTGACCACAGCACAACTCTCTTTTCCCAATGTTTATTGGTTCTAAAGGGCAGCCTTTCTCCCAGCAGAGGCTGAGCAGGCTCATATCTTTTGGGCTCCGTGAACAGGGCGGTTCACGTGCTCAGGGGAGGCCAGGTAGGCCTTGAGCTTAGGCCGAGCACTGAGGCGTGCCACATAGGCCAAGAGCAGAGGGTGGGAGTCCAGGCAGCCGGGGGCCAGGACCTGGTGATTCAGCAACAGGTCCAGCAGGTTGTAGTCCGCGAAGGAGATCTGCAGGGGAGGGGATATGAAGGGGCTCGAGCAGGGTCAGAAGAGAAGGGGCTGCAGGGAGCCAGAACACCTCCAGTGAACCTGCGGCGACTCCCCTCTGGGCCTCTGTTTGCCCTTCTGAGAAATGAATCATCTGCCATGGGCTAGACCCAGCACTCACCTGGTCACCCACAATGAAGGCCTGACCCCCCTGGTTCTGGATCAGCAGAGTCTCAAAAGGCTTCAGGTACCCTGGCAGCTCCTGAACGTACCTGGCCTTGCCTCCCTCCTGCAAAGGGCAGTGATCTAGTGGCAGCTCCCAGAGTGCCTGGCCAGGGTGACCTCCTGGCCCCCAGCCCCGAGCACCAGCCGCCCCTGCTCACATAGCTGTGGTGGATGAGCTGGCTGCAGTGCCTGCGGACGTCCTCCACGCCATCATTCACCATATCCACCAATGCCGCCTCCCGCTGGTCTTTGCCATAGAGCCCTGGTCAGAAGCCAGGCAGTGGGTCAGGTTCTGTCCAAGTTGGCGCTGCACTGCTCCCCTCTCCCCCAAATCCCACAGGCCTCAGGCTGGGGCACCCAGTTCCCTAGATCGGAGGGCCTGCTCTGCACAGCTCTGCTGCTCCCACCTCCAAAAGCCAAGGGAAGGGGCGGTGCCAGGGGCAGGGGGCAGGGGAGCTCAGTCAATTGGGTGTCTGACTCCTGATTTCGGCTTGGACAGTGATCTCAGGGTCCTGGGATTGAGACCTGCAATGGGCTCAGCGCTCAGTGCAGAGTCAGCCTGTCCCTCTCCCTCTCCCTCTGCCCCTATTGCCTCTTGCAAGCACTTGCTCATTCTTGCACACTCTCTCTCAAATAAATAAATAAAATCTTTTTTAAAAAATGCCCAAGGGGACATGCCCAGCTGAGGACCATGCCTCTTCTCGGTCACATCCTAGGTCTCATCCTGAGACTCAGGAATTCCCTGCCCAAATGGCCCTAAGTCCCATCCCCCAGATCTGTCCCCCTGAAATGGTGAACCAAGCCTCTGGTGCATGTGTCCTAGGCCTGAGAGGCAGGTGTCTGTGGAGGATGGACAGAACTTGGCTGTGAGAATTGGTGTGTCCAGCTCAGTGCAGGGCAGCTGTTGGGCAGGAAGAGGTGGCAGGCCATAGCCAGAAGCCTTTGTCCTCCCACTCTGGGTCCTGCAGAAGTCAGGGTAGGCTGGGCCTGGCTGCTACCACTACTCCTCTGTCCTCTTCCCTAATTGCCACATCCTACTGGACCCAGGGCTTTTCTAGAACCACCCCCCACCCCCCACCACCACAAAGTTAGCCAAAAAAGCAGCTACCTCCAGCCATGTTCCTGCCACCATTGTAAGAAGGCCATAGGTTTCCTTATTGTGAATATGGGTTTTCCAGATTCAAGAGGGGTCAACATAGGAAAATATGGTCAGGAGGCCTATGTGGAAGCCTGTAGCCACACTTGCAGCGGCCTCTAGCCTACACCAGTACACATGTGGGGGCTGGCAGCCTCCTCTGAACTGTCTTCCAGGAAATAGGCACAGTGAACCCATCTGGCACTGGCCGGTTGGCAGAGCCCTCATAACCCAGGCTCTGCCCTTCCTCTAGGGTCATCTGGCCTGTCTTCCAGATGGGCAGAGCTCTGGTTCTCAGGACATCCGAGGGGGACCCATTAGGTCCTCTGCAGGACCAGGCTGCCCCAGACCTCAGAACTCACCAAAGGTGCGACCCAGGTGTCGCAGGATGGCATTGGACTGGTACAGGGTGAGGTTTCCATCTTGGAACTTGGGGAGCTGCCCATACAGCTAGGGAATGGCATGGGTCAGTAAGAGATGCTGGGCTCAGCTGCCCCCCCCCAGTTTTGCCCCCCAAAGGCCCAGCCCCTGACCCCCTGCCAGGGCACAGTCACTCACGCAGGAGGCCTTGAGTGGGCTCTGCATCCAGCTGTCTTTGGTCACCACCTCCTCCTTCCAGCTCTGGCCCTGGTCAGCCAGCAGCATGCGCATGGCCTCGCAGCGCCCTGGGGGAGGGGACGACAGGGTAGTGGGATGTGTGCAGACCCCAGGCTCACAGCGCCCTGGGAAGGGCCCAGGAGTGTGGGGACTGAAGAGAAACTAGCTTCAGAGCCTGCTGAGGAGCTAAGATAAACCACGGAGAAAGAGGGGAGACCATGGCCCCAGCCCTGTCCTGGAGAGGCAGACAGGTGCGCAGCCCCCAGCCCATGGTGTCCCAGGATGGGAACAGAGCAGACGGACAGAAGGCAGCCAGACAGGGCACCAAGAGGATGCAGCCTCGGGAAGCGCCGGCCCTGGCCCCGCCCCCGCCGCCCCAGCCCCGCCCCCGCCACCCGGCCCCGCCGCGTCGTCCCGCCTCCTGCCGGGCGGGACCCCAGGGAGCAGCTCGTGCTGGCAGCCTGGCTCCCTCGGTGCCCTTCGCCCTCCTGAAGGAGCCGGGGCCGCACCTCGGACGGGGAAGTAGACGATGGTGTAGGGCGGCACTAGGAGAGACAAACAGGGCGTGAAAGAGTATCCTAGGGAGCTGCCCGGCCCAGGGGCCCGCAACCGGGGACGAGGTGGGGGGGGGGGGGTCAGACACCCCCGAGAGAGGGGGGTAGCTCAGCCTGGGTCCTGCCCCCCGACCAGGTCCAGACCCTACTCACTAGCAAGCGGTGAAGTAGAAGAGCAGCAGGAAGTGGCGAGGCTCGTGGCCTTATATTTATGGTCTGTCCCACCCCCTGCTCCCTAACCGCCCCACCCAAGAATGTGCCGAGTCACTGAGCAGAGCTTGGCCCTGGGCAAGGGGCAGGGCGGGGGCAGGGCCCGACAGGCTCACCAGCACATCTGCATGGGTGTACCCTGCCTGAAGGGCACTGACTTTAGCATGGCACAGTCACTGCCAGGCTCCAGGCCACACCAAAACCCACAGAACTTCTCAGGGCCCACAGAAGGCCAGTTCTGAGTCCCTAACTAGCTGCTGGCTACCAGCATGAGGACACAGTAGGTGCTCATTTAATGCTTCTTGCTTGAATGAATGCGATTTCCATAGACACATCCTCTCTCTGAAATAGTTATGGCAAACCCTCAGGGGCTGAGGACTGTGTTGGGAACTTTACATATATAACCATCCTAGGACTTGATATTGTTCTGATCCTCATTTTACAAAGGAGGAACTGAGGCACAGAGAGGTTAAGTGACTTTCTCAAGGTCACACAGCTAATAAGCAGGACTTAAACTCAGGTCTGGCTAGGTTCAGGGGCCTCACTTTTAACCCTCTGTCTTTCTTCTGCAAAGCCTTGTCATCTCCAAACCATTTTTTGACTAAGTCTAAGTGCTAGGCACTCTTCAAATATTGACTGGACCTGGGGATCTGGGTGGATGGAAAGAAGGACTGAAATGCACAGGACCTCCTGGACCCGAGGGGACCGAGTGCCTGCCTCCCTGCAGGCCATCTGGCGCCCCCAGCCCACTCAGTGGATGTGCTGGTCCTCCCCAGGGAACTGGAGCCTGACTGAACCAGACAGCTGTCTCAGCCACGTTTTCCTGTCAGAGCCACAAGGAGAGAGGAAGGTATCTTTCCCTGGTGCAGTTCCTATCTAAAGCCTGGGAGAAAACCCAAACATGCCTAATCAAAAGCATCCCTTAGCCTCATTTGAGTCCACAGCTGCCTGGGGCTAGGAGGGGTAGGGGAGGTGGTGATAGAGCTGGGTTCTATCCATGACTCACAGCTGGAGGAACATCTGCCCAGCACTTAGCAGCTTACAAAGAGCTTTTATATAAATGGTCTCATTTCATCTCCCCCACATCCTGAGAGGGAGGGAGTCTTGTTCCCATTACACTGATGAGGACACCAAGGTTCACAGAGGTTCATTCATCTGCTCTGGCCTGGAACATTCATGCCCTTCCTTTGTGCACAAGCATCAAAGGTCTGGGAGACCCTTTCCTGTCCAGTGGGCCAGCCTCCTACCAGCTTACACTCTCCAGCCATCACACTCAGGTCCCCTGGCCAGCTGTCCCCCAGGTCAGCTTGGCACTATTTGGTGGTGGGCTGCTTTTACCCACAGTCCTCTGGCTCCACAGGCAAAGCCTGTGGCCACCCTCAGGCCTTCTCCTCTGGGGTCCAGAGCAGTTTTCCTAGGCCAGTGGGCCAGGAACCTTCCTGCGTCCATCCCCCACCTCCAGTCCACGTGTATATCAGCACCTGTCTTTGGCGTGTTTTTTTTTTTTTTTTAAGATTTTATTTACTCATGAGAGATACAGAGAAAGAGGCAGAGACACCGGTAGAGGGAGAAGCAGGCTCCCTGCGGGGAGCCCGATGCGGGACTCGATTCCAAGACCCCGGGATCATGACCTGAACTGAAGGCAGATGCTCAACCACTGAGCCACCCAGGCACCCCAAAAGTTTTTAAAATAGAAACAAGCAGCTTTTTAAAAATATATTTTATTTATTTGACACAGAAAGAGAAAAAGCACAAGCAGGGGAAGCAGGAAGAGGGAGAAGCAGGCTCCCAGCTGAGCAAGGATCCCAATGTGGCACTTGATCCCAAGACCCTGGAACCATGACCTGAGCCGAAGGCAGATGCTTCACCAACTGAGCCACCCAAGCGCCCTAAACAGCTTTGTTGCTACTTAAATTTCACTCTCATAAAGTGTATATTCAGTGGTTTTAGTATATTCAGTGTTGTGCAACCACCACCACTATGTAGTTCCAGAACATTTTCATCACCCCCAAAAGAAACACTGTACTCATAGGCAGTCACTCTTCATTCCCCTCCTCCCATCCCCACTAATCTTTTTTGCTATGGATTTGTCTATTCTGAATATTTCATATAAATGGAATCATACGCTGTGGCCTTTTGGGTCTGGCTGCTGTCACTTAGCAGAATGTCTTGGAGGTGTCATGTATGTCATAGTGAATATCAGTGCATAATTCCTGTCAATGGCTGAGGAATATTCCATGACATGGACATACACATTTTGTCTACCCATTCCTGCCACTGACAGACATTTGGGTGGTTTCACCTTTGGGCTTTTATGAATCAGGCTGCTATGAACGTTTTTGTGCAAATTTTTGTGTGAACTTATACTATCAATTCCCTCAGATACATACCCAAGGGTGGACTCGCTGGGTCACATGATAGCTCATTTGAGGAATTTCCAAGCTTTTTTTCAAAATGGCTGCACCATTTTGTAAACCAAACAGCAGCAGGCAAAGTTCCCAACTTCTCTATGTCTTCACCAACACAGCTAATGTCTATCTTTTTCGCTTTAATTATCCCAGTGAGTGTGAAGTGGTATCTCAGGAGGGTTCTGTGTGCCAAGACTTATGGGGAACAGGGTAGAGAAAGAGCTATCATCTTTGCCATTGGAAGAATCACAGCTCAGTAGTGCCTGGCTGGCTCAGTCAGTGGAGCATGGGACTCTTGATCCTAGGGTTCAAGCCCCATGGTGGGCATGGAGCCGACTTAAAATAATAATAAAAAATATTTTTTAAAAAAGAAGAATCACAACTCAGAGTGGAAGAGATAGACACAGTTCTTCATTCACACACTGATTAGTATGTATCAGGCTGTGTATGGGCTAGGCATCATGGCAAACACCAGAATAGGCAAGATACAGTCTCCACTCTAATTGACTCTTCTAATGAAGAATAGAAAGCTTTCATCAGAAGTCTATCTGCCCAGCCATCTATCCACTTCCATCCACCTGTCTCTTCCTCTGTGTACCCATCTACCCAATCATCCACCCATCCAACAACCAAACATTTGACCAGATGAGCAAGGGGCTACTTTCATCTATGTATTTATGTATTTATCCACCTATCCATCCAGCTACCCATTTAGCCACTCAGTCATCCTGCACCTGTCTATCCATCCATCTATCCATTCAGCCAACCAACTATTGGTACAATCACCTATCCATCCATCTACCAACTATTTAACCACTAGCCTATCAAATCATCTACCCATCCTGCCATCCAGTCAGCCACCTGTCTGTTCATCCATCCATCCATCCATCCATCCATACATACATACATACATCTGTCTGTCAACCATGGATCCATGTGTACATCCTAGACAACTGGAGCTGGAGCTCCAGCTTGGCTAAATTGGGCTGGACAAGTCAAGGGCATCAAGATAAATACCCTAGTATGCTGTTCATTGAACACAAGTGAGAAAGGATTTCCAAGCCAGGCTTTCTCTACCTGGACACAAAGGCTTTGCTTCTTGATTAGAAACACTTTTAAGAACTATACCCCAACCCATTAATGCCCCCACTACTTTGGCTTATAATTTGGGGCAACACATTTCTCCCACTTCCCACCTTCTTAGGTGGTCATTTGGACACAGGATCATTCATCACACATGGCATCCACCATTTTTTGAGCCCTTCCTATGTGCCAGGAAACTGCTAGGTCCTTTACTTAATTTTCACAAAAGCACCATGAAGCCTAGGCCAACGGCCATTTTCCAAATAAGGAAACTGAGACTCAGAGAGGTGAAATACCTTGCCAAGGTCCACACAGTAAGCACACAGGGAAGCCTGTGGTCCTTCTCTAAGACCTTGCAGAAAATGCTAGAATTTCTGTGTCTGGAGGATGTTTGTAGTGCTGCCTGGGATATAGTGCCCTCCTGGTCTGCAGGAGAAGGTGAGACCCCCTAGGGCAGAGGGCTGAAGTATGCCGTTTGAATGTTCAAGTGGTCATAAGGAGCCCTCACCTTCATAAGGTGACCCTTGACCACCTGGCCAGCATCCACTAACCTCTGAATCCTAATCTTTCTTCAGATCCTCAGCCCCGTTCAGGGTTGTGTGGGGGCCATTCCCTCTGGCCATTGGCCACTCTTCCCTTCAGGTGGTCATTTCTACCATATCTCTGGGCTTGGCTCACATGCCATGTCCTCGGCCCCCGAGTCACAGCAAGGTCCCCACTCTCCAACCCTCTCAGTTGTCCTCCACAGTCATTCTGCGCTTGCTGAATATGCATTTCCCACCAGCTGGAAGTTTCCAGGAGGCAGGGACTACTGGTTCCCAAAACCCAGGAAGGTGTCTGGTAGGTATTCCACAACACTGGCAGAAGATTCAGTCCCTCTGAAATTTTCTCCGGCCTCTTGCCACCTTCACGCCTCCAGGGACTGCTGACCTCTGCCTACCTCCCGAGGGCCTCCACCTAACATACTCTGCTGGACTCCAGTGCCTGGAACATTCCACATTCACGGCTGATCCCTGCCGGGGTCCCAGTGCTCACCCAGGGCTGAGCATGGGTTCTCATGCCTAAAAAGCTGCCCTGTTGTCTCTTCGCCCCCACTGATGCCTGGGTTGGTGCTCCCAAGCACCAGGAGGCTCTCTGCGGCCTTTTCTGAGCTGTGTGGCCAAGAGCAGGAGCCTCAGGACAGACACGGTCTGTCTATGTAGCCCCAACAGCTGGCCTGAGGCTCAGTCCCACCCAGCCTCAGATGTTTGCAAAAGGAATACATGAATGGGTGGCGCTTCATGTGGCTGAGGGAGGCCAGAGCCACCAGCTCAGGTGGCAGGTGTCTGGCGGGATCTGTTTCCCTTGGACAAAGACTGGTGCAGGGGGCAGGTGAATAAATCATGAGAGGCCTAGAGCAGGGCTGGGGCAGGACAACTGACCTCATTGTGGGAGGTGAAGAACAGGAAGGTGGGCAGTGAGAGGGTAAGAGGGCTGGGAACATAACAGAGGGGCATAGGAGGCCAGTGGGGGTTGCCTGGCCCACCCCCACATTGCTCCCTGCTGAGCAAGAGGTTGGAGGTCAGCAGAAGGTAGGTGGAAGGTACTAGCAGAAGGTGGGGAGGTGGGGGGAGTTCAGAGCTATCTTGGAGCTCAGGGTGGGCAGAAGGTGGGATGTCTGGGGCCAGGCTCAGCTATGGTGGGGGCTGACTTTCCAGAATCCAGGAGTCATCCGGAGAGAGGGGATGGTGGGGAGAATAGGAAGAGCGAGGGCAGACAAACAGAAAGACAGACAGACCAGTATGAGAAGGGTTCTCATGCAACAGAGGGAGGGAATGACAGAGATGGGCATGAGTGGTTGGAGAGACCCACAGAGTCACAGCTGGACAGATGTCAACAGGGTGCAGGGGGTAACATGGGGCTGCAGGTGGACAGACACAGAGAGATAGGCACAGAGCCGAGGGCTGAGGGGCCGAGCCAGGCAGCAAGCAAGACAGAATAGTGGGGAAGGGATTGTGGGGGGTGTGCAGAGACCATGAGCCAGAGGCCAGGCGACGGAGGGTCTGCAAGGAAGGCCCAGTGGGGCCCCAAACCTCAGTCTGTGGCCGGGATGGGGCTGGAGCTAGTGGGTTGGGGGAGATGAGGATATGGAGGAGTGGCTGTGTAAGCAGCATGGGGAGCTTGGAGAGCTAGGGGACTTGGGGACCTGGACCCATGGAGAGAGGAGCATGGGAAAGAGTAGCAGGGACCCTGTGGGAACCACATGCACAGCTGCCCACTCCAACCCACCCTCCTGCAGGAACAGGGCGACCAGAGTGGGAGCAGGCGGCACCAAGCCCTCGTCTCCATGGCCCTTCCCCAGGACCAGGCAGATGGCAGGCTCCCCGTGGGGGACCCCAGCCCCTCGGAGGGCACTCCAGGACCCAGTCAGGCTCCTGCCAGCCCAGCAGCCACCAGGCATCGGCGGGCACTCCTCAGGGAGCTGGAAGCTCAGGTCCAGGCAGCTTATGGGCAGGTAAAGGGGACAGGGGTGTGGGGCTGTCCTCAACTGAGGGCACCATGAGGGAACAGCAGGGATCCCACAGCCCACCTGGGGCCCAGGACAGAGCTCAGGGAAGAGACCCAGGACATGCATTTTGATGGAGGGCTCTGGGGTCAGTCAGCTGCCCAGGAGGCTGGAGCCTCTCCCCACCTCTGCCCTCACTGAGCCCTGCATCCAGCCTATGGTGCCCAGAGTTGGCTCCCTTCCACTCTTCACCTGAGTACAAGGGGCAGGTGCTCCCCTGTGAGAGCAAGAGTCCTGGCAGGGAAGGGCAGGAGCCTCCTGGACTGGACCAAGATTGCCTTCTCTCTGGACAGGGAGGAGGGGGAGAGTCCACCAAATCCATACTGCCATTCTGAGGGGAGAGGTGCCCAGCCCGCCCTGGCACACCGGGCACCCAGTCTCCTCCTCCCGGGTCTGGCCCTGCTTCTGAAGATATTAAATCTCTCCTGATTGGGGGAGATTAGGGGTAGGAGTTAAGGGAGAGAGGGCTGGAGAGGGGATATCTGGAAGACCCTCAGGAGTGAGCACAGGGAGGCTGTGCCTTCCAGGGGGCCTTGGGTCCCGAGTGGCCCCCCTCACCAGCAGAGATGCTCAGAGATAATCCTGGATTAGGACCCAAACCCCCGTGCCCAGGGCTCCCCGCCTGCCCACCCGCTCCCAATCTTCCCCACAAAACCCTAGGAAAATCCCCTGCAGTCCTCCCAGACTCTCACTGGGAGTAGCTGGGGGCTGTCAGGAGCCCACAGCATCCGCTGAGGCCCAGGCCTGGGCTGCCCCCAGGACACCAGGCCTGGCATGGTTCAGGAGCCCATGGGAAACTGTGCCAAGCGGCCTCGGCACCGGAGGCCTACGGTAGGAAAGGGGGAGAAGCCAAGGCCAGGAGGCTGGGCTGTAGCCTGGAAGGGTCAGGTGGGGTGGGCAGAGCCCTCTGTGAGGGCTGGACTAGATTAGAGACGGAGCAGCCTCAGGGGGATGGAGGGGTAGGTTCCCACTGCCCTAGACCAATCAAGATCAAGAGTCTGGGAAGGGCCCCATACTCTAGCCCCTTCCATGGACCACTGGGCCTTTCCTGCCAAGCTCATCAGGCCCCCCAGCTGCGCTCCAGCTGCCTGTGCCTGCTGCTGAGAGCTGAGCTCAAGGTCCCATTCTGCCACTGGCTTTCTGAGTGACCTTAACCCAGTCCCTTCCTTTGCGGGGGTGGGTGGGCTCGGTTTGCCCAATTAAACAGTAAGGGGATGGACCATCCCAGCCTAGAGTGTTGATGGGTGAGAGCTCCCACTGTCCCATGCCAGGTTCCAAAGACGGAAGAGGCTGGTAAATGAGGGTGGAGGGGCCACTACCCCCAGCTCATGGCTGGCTCTGCTGCAGGACCACTGGCAGTGGCCCAGCTCCCCACCAGGAGGCTCCCACCATGGCCCCAGGGAGCCCCCAGGCCCAGCTCTCCCACCAGGTGGCTCCCAGCCTGAGGAGCAGGGGGGCCCAGGGCCAGGCATCCAGGGTTACTCAGTGCTCAGCAGCCTAGTGGGGCCGGCCTGCATCTTCCTGCGGCCCAGCATCGCCGCCACCCAGCTCGTATGTATGGCTGCCCCAGGCTTTGCCTCCTCTCTGCCTCTCCCTGAGTAGGGGGGAGAGGATAGAGTGGGGTCTTTGGAGCAAAGGCACCCAGATCCAGGGGGTGGGGCAAAGAGAAGTGGAGAAACAGAAACAAGATCAGTGGGGAGACCCAGGGAGACATGCCAGGAAAGACAGAAGAGAGGACAGAAAGAGACCCAGAAAACCTCAGAGACAACCACAAGGGGGTGGGCAGGGAGGTGCCAGGGCCTCCAGGAGAGGGACAGAGGGACAACAAGAGAGACAGAGTGACACTGAGGTCCCCAGGGCCAAGTCTGAGGGTCTGCCCAACCCCAGATCCACATCTGGCAAATTGAGCTCTGAGCCCCAGGAGAGAGTGGGGGCAGGGAAGGGGGGGGCCAAGACACCAGGCCAGTCAGCAGCAATGGTTGGAGCATGTCTGAGCAGTGTCAGCCAGACACAGGCCCTGTCCATCGTGTTGGGGGTGCTGAGTGGGGAACCCTCAAAGAACAGAGGATAGGGTACAGATACCTGGGTGGTCCAGGGACTTCTTAACCTCTCTGTGCCCCCAGGACCGGGAGCTGCGGCCAGAGGAGATTGAAGGTAAAGGGTTTTGGAAAAGACTGGTGTCTCCAAAGGGGTGGGCAGAGGGTGGGGCACACAGGGTGGGGGCACTGGGTGTGGCCTCAGCTGGTCCCCAGGAGGAACTAGAGTCAAGGAGGCGGTTGCAGGAGATGGAGGAGATGGAGACCACACTGGACAGGGAGGGGCTGACCGGACCCCCAACTGTCAGTCCCCAGATCTCATTGCCAGGCAGGTTGAGGGCCGCTTTTATATCTGGTCATTCAGCAAACACCTCCCGGGTGCCCGCCATGTGCCTAGCCCTGTGTGGAGAGAACTGGGGAATGCAGCAAACTGGACAGATGGGGCCCATGTCCTCTGGAAACAGATGTCAATGAGTCAACTATGAGTACAAATGCTGCTAAGTGCTCTCAAAGAAATGAACAGATGGGCTGGAGGGGACCAAATGGAGAGGGAAGGCTTTCTTGAGTAGGTGACATAAAGACTAGAAGAGGGTAGAGTTCCAGAACGTGAGCTCCTTGAGGATAGGAACTGTTTCCTTTCTTTCCCTCCCTCCCTTGCTGCCATACCCCCAGTACCTAGAGCAGAGCTTAGCACACAGTAGATGCTCCTTAAATATTTGTTGAAAGAATGAATTAAATAGCATGTGCTAAGACCCTGTAATAGCAAAAAGAAACTGATGCTTACAAGGAGGAAGTGAGCAGACCAAGGTGAGAAGGGTGTGCTGGTCCAGGGACATGTGTAGGAGGAACTGACCCCGCCCTGCCCGGCAGAGCTGCAGGTCGCCTTCCAGGAGTTTGACCGGGACCGGGACGGCTACATCGGCTACCGGGAGCTGGGCGCCTGCATGCGGACGCTGGGTTACATGCCCACCGAGATGGAGCTCATCGAGATTTCACAGCAGATCAGTATGTGCCTCAGACTTGCCCCACGCCCAGTTCTCCAGAGGCCATGGCCATGGCTTGAGCAGCTGGGCAGCCCAGGGAACACAGGGGCCTCCCCACATTGGCTCCCGGAGCCCGGGGCCCTGGTCATTCTCAGGGCACCATCCCCTACAGGGTGGGCAGGGCAAGGATCACGATCCCCATTTTTCAGTTTAGAAAACTGAGTCTCTGAAAGCTTAAGTGACTTGGCTAAGGTCACAGAGCCAGGTCATTTGAGCCAGGACTGAAACCCAAACTCTTCAGGAAAATTAAGAAAAGCCACCAGAAAACACAGATGATCCAGCCTGTGGGGCCGCATGAGGGAGATGGGCCCATTCAGTGGGGCAAGGGAGAGGGAGAGGCCAGGAGAGGTGGGCATAGGAGGGCTGGGCAGGGGTCTCTGACGGGCCTGGCCTCCAGGTGGCGGAAAGGTGGACTTTGAAGACTTCGTGGAGCTCATGGGCCCCAAGCTGCTGGCAGAGACAGCAGACATGATTGGCGTCAGGGAGCTCCGGGACGCCTTTCGGGAGGTGCGGCCCCTGGGGCTGGAGGGCGGACGGAGGCCTCGGGTCTGCTGTGAGTGGGGGCTGAGTGAATGAATGACTGGGTCGGACACTCAATGCCACGACCAATGCCACCACAGTTTGACACCAATGGTGATGGCTGCATCAGCTTGGCGGAGCTGCGGGCAGCCCTCAAGGTCCTGCTGGGGGAGCGCCTCAGCCAGCGGGAGGTGGACGAGATCCTCCATGACATTGACCTCAATGGGGATGGCCTGGTGGACTTTGAAGGTACCACTTACCACCCTCTGTGCTTCGGGCCACACACCCTGGCTGGTTTTTGACAGAAAAGGAGCATTATCACTGTGTGCCAGACCCCATGTCCTCTCCCCGTGAGCAGGACAAGAAAGTCAATTCTTAGGAAAGTGTGAGTACTTAGCAAAAGATGTGGATGGAGCCAAGACGTGAAGCCAGACAGTCTGACGGAAACCCACTTCTTCCTGTGTGCTGTATTCCCACAGGGGGAAAACAAGGGTTAAATAATAATAGGAAGCCAAGGAAGATGAGTATGTAGAAATTCTCCAAAGTAGGCCCCAAAATTGTGAGCTTCCTAGCAGCCAAAGCAGAGGAAAATAGGTTCAGCTCCAAGGTTTTTTTTGTTGTGTTTTTTGTTTTGTTTTCCATAAAACAAAGCCCCTCTTCTTAGCCCAAAGGCCTATTCCCTACCAGATCCAGAAGACTCCCTTGCAGGCCCTGCCCTGGACCACACTCCCTCTCACCTTAAGGCCCGTATATCAGTCTCACCACTACTGGGCTCCAGAGAGCAGACCTGCAACCTTGGCTTTGTCCTGGCAGAGTTTGTGCGGATGATGTCACGTTGAGCCTGCACAGAAGCTCAGGACTTGGCAGCAGACAGGACTTGGGACTACAGCGACTGCCTGTCAGTGTGTTCCAGGAAGCCCACGGCCTCCAAATGACTCTCCCATTCTCCTTCCTACCCCACCTGTGTGCGACACCCCAGCCTGCCCTCACCCCCCAGCCCCACTTCCTCACCAACCCATCCCCATCCCTGTCTAACAATAAAGTATCTTGGAGCCTGGGGAGATGGCTTTTGCCTCTCACTTGTTTACCCCGGAGCACCCAGTATTTGGCCCCCAAAAGTTAAGTCCTGGGCTGCAAGACCCATCAACTGTGAACTCCAGGTGGGCAGGAGCCCTTTCTGGATTCTGAGATTATCCCAGAGCAAGTGTCAGGAAATGTTCCAGAGCTGGGATGCCCCTCACCCTGTAAAAAAGGCTCCTGCCAGGCCCATGGTTACACATGCCTGGCATGTGCTGCCAGATTCTTCTTCCTAAAATGTGACTTGCGTTGTGTCACACTGCTGTTCAGGAACTGGCCATGACCCCCATCACCCCCAGATTAATCCAGCCCTTTCTCCCGGCATCAGAAGGTTCTGGGAGGATGAAGGCTGGCATAGAGTCACACACAATGAGGATGAAGTAGAGGTGGGACTTACACCCTAGCCCCAGTATTCTAAAGTCACAGTGCTAACAGGAAAGGGGGCCTTGGAGTCAAGGCGACCCAGGCCTCAGGCTCTCCTAGCTGCAGCAAACAGCTGCTCTGTAGAACACTGCCTGGCCCAAGGCTGTTCCGACCTGCTGGGAGTGAGGACACAAGCCCTAACCTCCTGGTCAAGAAGGGGTGGGAACTTTCAGAGCTCCTGCCTGGGCTTCACCATCACTGCCACCAACAAGATGGCCTTGGGACCGAGAAGGTAGGCAGTCACTGGTGTCTGGCCCAGCCCAAAGTCTGGACACCAAGGTGCCAGGGTTGGCTGCAGCAGCCTCAGCACCACTCACTTGCCTAGCAGATCCCAATTAATCCTAATACTCAATTACGTGATCTCTCCTGCCAATCTGGCAGCTCTTCTCTGGGAGCTGTGGTCCATCCTCCCTCCCACCACCCTCTACCAGCTAGCACAGATGGCATGGCTGCCTGAGATGTCTGTCCCCTCTGCAGGGGCCAGGGGTAGTGATGGATGTGTGTCAGAGGAAGACCAGAACCCTGCTCAGGGCCTGCCTCCTACTGCCCCTTGCCTCCCCACCTGGCAGGCTCTGGGGCTGGGGTGGGGACAGGAGGTGATGAGGTGGGATAGTCTCAGCTGGTTGCCATGTATCTGCTAGCACAAAAAGTGCCTACTGTTCTCCAAATCTCATACATGCCCTCCTACCCCAAAAAGGCTGCTGGCCCAAAAGGTCCCAACCAGATAACTGTGACAACAGGGACCAGCCAGGAAGGAAGAGTAAGGAGGTAGAGACTGTGCTGAGCTCAGAGCCCTTTCTCTGTTTAAAGGGGGCACCTATCACCCAACCCCATTGGCTGTTGCCAGGTGGAGCAGGCCAGAGCTATGAGAGCTTCTGATTTCCCAAAAGAAACCAGAAAGTCGGATTTACATTAAGTCCACTTTAAATAGTTATGACTATCGACTATAGCATTCAATAAGGTGTATAACCTTAAGTGTACAGCAAAATGAGCTTTACATGTTTGTGTGCCCAGGTAACGATCACCCACAAAAGGATATTACATACACTTATTTTATTTAAAATAGTTCTCAGCTTACAGAATTATTTTGAAGATAGTACAAAAGCTCTTGTATACACTACTACGGCCAGTTTCTCCTGTGTGTTGGCCAAGGTTCTCCAGAGAAACAGAACCAATAGATGCCTCTGTGTATGTGTGTATGTGGGTGTGTGGATGTGTGTGTAAAGGCATTTATTGTAAGGAATTGGCTCAGGTGATTACAGGTGCTGAGTAGTTCCATGATTTGCAATCAGCAAGGTGGAGACACAGGAGAACTAGTGGTTCAGTTCCAGTCCAAGCCCAAAGGCCTGAGAACCAGGAAAGTTGATGGTGTCAGTTCTAGTCTGAGGGTGGAGGACTGATGTCCTAGCTCAACCGTCAGGTAGGCCAGGTTCCCTCTTACTCAGCCTTTCTGTTCCATTTGGGTCTTCAATTGATTGGATAAGGCCCACTCACCAGGGGAAGGGCCATCTGCTTTACCCCATCTACCAATTCAATGGATGTTAACCACATCCAGAGACACCCTCACAGACACACCCAAAATCATGTTTGACCAAATATCTGGGCCTTATGACCCAGGCAAGTTGACCCTTAAAACTAACCATCACAGTCTGTCAATATCTCACATTAGAATTGGTACATGTGCCACAATTAATGAACTAACACTGACATAGTTATTAACTAACGTCGATATTTTATGCAGATTCCATAATTTTTTCCCTGATTATCCTTCTGCTGTTCCAGAATGCCATCCAGGATACCACAAGACATTAGGCATCATGTCTCCTCAGACTCCTCTCAGTTTTGACAGTTTCTCAGACTTCTCTTGCTTTCTTAGGATCATGGCAGTTTTAAGGACTGGTCAGATATTTTATAAAAAGTCCCTAAATTGGGATTTGTCTGATGTTTCTCTCATGATTAATCTAGGGTTATGGGTTTGCAGGAGGAAGACCACAGAGGTAAAGTGCCCTTCTCATCCATTATTATCAAGGGTACATACTATCAACATGACATCACTATGGATGTTGACCTTGATCACCTGGCTGGAGGTAATGTTTGTCTAAATTTCTATACTAGTGGGCAGCCTGGGTGGCTCAGCGGTTTAGCACCACCTTCAGCCGAGGGTGTGATCCTGGAGACCCAGGATTGAGTCCCACGTGGGGCTCCCTGTGTGGAGCCTGCTTCTCCCTCTGCCTGTGTCTCTGCCTCTCTCTCTCTCTCTCTCTCATGAATAAATAAATAAAATCTTTAAAAAAAAATTTCTATACTAGAAAAGTACTCTTTTTTCTTTCTCCCATTATGTACTACACTCTCTGGAAGAAAGTCACTATGTACCCCCACACTTAAGGGGTGGGGGTTAAAATCCACCTGATTAAAGGCATATCTACATAAACTACTTGGAATTCTTTTTTTTTTTTTTTAAACATTATCTTTTTTTTTTTAATTTTTATTTATTTATGATAGTCAGAGAGAGAGAGAGAGAGTCAGAGACACAGGCAGAGGGAGAAGCAGGCTCCATGCAGGGAGCCTGACGCAGGATTCGATCCGGGGTCTCCAGGATCACGCCCTGGGCCAAAGGCAGGTGCCAAACCGCTGCGCCACCCAGGGATCCCTACTTGGAATTCTTCTACATAGATTTGTCTCTTCTCTCCCTTTATTTGTTTACTCAACCATTTATATATATATATATATATATATATATATATATATATATGATATATATGTTATATAATTACATCTACTTACATACATATAATTACATCCTAGACATTACATATCAATATATAATATCTCCACCTTTATTTACTCAACCATTTATATGTATAAATGATATACATATATATATATATATCAGTATAGGCTCATAGATATTTATTTTATGCAAGTTATAATCCTATTCTTTTTAAAATTTTGTTCAAATTGCTCCAGCTTTGGCCACTGGCAGCCCTTTCAGCTGGCTCCTGTATCCCTTTGGTATATACCCATCATGTTAGCATTTGGGGTTTGGGATTTTGGGATGTGGTGGGTTTGGGGTTTTGTGAGGTTTTGGCTTTTTTTTTTTTTGTTGTTGTTGTTGTTCCAAGATCATCTTGTATATTTCCTACACCAGTCTTAGAATTAGCCATTTCTCCAAGGAACTCTGGTTCACTTTATTGGAGAATGCTATTAGAAACCAAGATCTGGGTGCTAAGTTGTTTCTAGGCCCTCTCAGCAGACAGAGGAGATACCCATGTACACTAATCTGTGTATATGCAGTCTTTATATAATTTCTCTATGTAACCAATTGTATCTACATTGAGCTAAACATGAGTTCATACTGATATCTCCAGTTCCAACCTGGATCGTGTTAGCCTCCTCCACATGCTTACCTGTCACTACTTATTCCAACAATAAGAAATCCATCCTGACTTAACTGTCAATTCTAGTGTACATGTGCTGTGGCTTCACAATTGTTAACCCATACTGCCACAGAAAACCGCTTCATCAACTAAAGTTGATGCTTACCTGCAGCTCCTTTACATTCATTTACAGACTCCGCCCATTTCCAGATTAGCACCTTACTCCCCCACCCCTTTAGTGAGGCTGTCTCAATCCTACCATACAAAATAACTTCACTGCTTTAAAAAAAAAAAAAATCCCCGATGTCACTCATTTAACTCTACCCCTCACCACCCCCGGCACCCAGTAATCTGTTTACCTCATGTATGAGTTTGTCTTTTCCAGAATGTCATACAATTGGAACCATACAGCGCATAGCTTTTTCAGACTGGCTTCTTTCACTTAGAAATATGCCTACCTGTTTCTTTTCAGAGCTAGATAGATGATTTCCTTTTATTGCTGAATAAATAGTCCCTTATACGGATATATCACAGTTTGTTCATTCACCAATTGAAAGCTGCCTCCTCTGGAAAGACTCCTGTGATGTCACCAAGCAGGCTCCTTCCTCTAAGTTCCAATGCATCCTGTATACCAGTCTCCACATTGTCTTATTGTGCTGTGTGCCTTTGCTTTCCTGTCTGTCTCTCCTTGAGACCAGGAGCTCCTTGAGGAGAGAAGCCACGGCCAGTTCGTTTCCATATCATCAGTGTCCCGCACAAGGATGGAGGATGGAGGATGGAGTCAGAAAATGCCTGGTGGATGAATGAACGAATGAATGAATGTCCCGGAGAGGAGGAAAATCTACAGACCTGGGGCATGAAGAATACACAAGGCCAGAATAGTTTTGAGGCGAAGTAGCCCAAGAGAAAGGGTTAGTGTTTGGAGGAAAGTCTAAGATCTAGGGTGGTGAGGAATGAAATTT